GATCCATGATGTCGTCAATCTTCAAAGGCTTCATTACATCAGTTACAAATTGAGGATGCACGTATGCATCTCGGATCTTCTCGTGTAACAGCTGCCTGACAATACCTTGAGATTTGGGACTTATCTTTTGTGGTTTATAACTGATGTGAAGTTGAGGAATACTTTCTGCAAGATAGCAATTTCATTAACACAATATATATCAAGCGCAGGCTAATAAAAAAAGAATTATTATATAAATAACATTTAAGAAATAATTTAAATAAAAAAAAAGACATCGTCACAAAGAATCACGTATATATAAATAAAGATTTATTTTATTCTATTTATTTAATCGAAAATGTCATAGAATTTACACTGCTTTTTAAGTAGCCCTACTGCCAATACAAATACTACATCTACTTATACTTCCACACATACTTCCAGCATACCTGATCCATCATCCGGAGGTAAGTTACCAGCCAGCATTCTAATAAACGTTGTTTTACCAGTCCCATTTTCTCCTAATAAAACGAGTATTTCCGAATCGGTGAATTGCCCTTTCTCGACATTCAAATTGAACGTTCCCATTGTTTTCGTCATAGCAGGATATTCGTAGTGATTCATGCGTTTCACTTCTTCCTCAGTTGCACTTTCTGCTACTTTAAATACGAGAGATTCTTCACGAAATCGTAAATTTTCCGTAGGAACAAATCCATCCAGGAAAATGTTTATCCCTTCTCTTACGGAAAAAGGCATGGTAACAACGCCATATGCCCCAGGAACTCCATATAGGCAACAAATAAAGTCAGATAAATAGTCCAAAACCGATAAATCATGCTCCACAACTATTATGAACCTGATATATTAAAACAAATAATAAATATATTAATAATTTAATAAAAATTAATCATCTTTTTACAGATACTTACTTGTCTGGATGAATAAGAGACCTAATAGTCACGGCAGCATTGAGGCGCTGCTTGACATCTAGATAAGAAGAAGGCTCGTCAAACATGAAAATATCTCCATTCTGGATGCATACCATTGCACAAGCAAACCGTTGAAGTTCACCACCAGAAAGTGCTTCGATACCTCGATCACGTATATGTAGCAAATCTGAGAAAAATATGTATCAATGAAAGTATGGAACAGAGATTATCAAAATTTTTCTTTCAGTATCCTAAATCAATCTTAAAACAAAAACGACGAAAAAAAAAAGATAAAGATTAGTATTTACCGAGCATTTCGCAAATTTCCATCTGATTCTTGCATTCATCTTTTTTATCTAAAAGCTGCTGCACGGTACCTTTCACGGCTTTAGGAATTTGATCAACATATTGAGGTTTAATAAGAGCCTTCAAATCATCTTCTAAAATTTTTGTAAAATAATTTTGCAACTCGCTGCCTCTAAAATGGCTTAAAATCTCTGTCCAGTCTGGTGGATCCTGTTTGAATAAAAAAAAGCTTTTCATGCTATTGCTTTATATCCATTTTAATAAGTCACATACATACACATACATATATATATATACATATGTATATAGTATATACATACATATGTGTTATATGTATTATAAAATATAGCAATCACATACAGAATATCTCCCCAAATTTGGTTTTTGCTTTCCAGCTAAAATTTTAAGGGCAGTCGATTTACCAATTCCATTAGTTCCTACGAGCCCTAAAACTTCACCGGGACGTGGAATAGGAAGTCTGTGTAGCTTAAATGAGTTTTTAGAATAACGATGCGTCGTTTCCTTCTCTAAATTACTAGGAAGATTAATAATGGATATTGCTTCAAACGGACATTTCTACAAGAAATAATCTTTCATCATTATCAATACTGAAAATTATGTATTATTATTATTATCATATTAATATTTCGGAATAATAATTATACATAAGTAGTCTTGAGTACTTCTCATTTTATTTGATTCATTATCATTCTAAATATCTCAAATAATAGAAGGTGTTATTCATCGTATTAAAAGTTATCAAAAGTTTTTTATATTATTGTACAAAATCATCATATAATTTTATTATATAATGAAATTACCTTGACACAGATACCACAACCAATACATAGTTCTTCAGAGATGGCTGCTATTTTACTGTTTGGATTAACTTCTATACAAAGTTTTCCCATTCGTACTACAGGACAAGATCTCTTACATTCTTGTCTACACCGTTTAGGTTTACATTTATCAGAATTCACAATCGCTATACGGGTCAAACGATCCGTCTCCTCCATTGATTTTTTTGGTGGCATAATGATATGCTAATTTAGAAAAATTTTTTTTAATTGTTTGAATATCATAAATAAATTGAAACATGAAATATATCAAATATATTACATAGAACAACACCATAAAACATATTTTAAAAAATCATGAAAATCATAAAAAATATGGTATAAAATAAAATAATAGACGTAGACAAAAAATATAAAATAAATTTAAAAATAAAGTAATTGTTTAGTTTAGCATACACAATCACAAAAATAGATAAAAAAATATACCAAATACGTTTTTTATGAAATGAACAAATTTGACAAAAAATATTGCACCTAAACCTTACTTAAGCAAACTTGAAAAAGCAAAAGAAACAACTGAATAAAGAGACTAAACAAGTAAGAAAAATACGAACAAAAATGCATTAAATTGTCACAATGACTGTCTTTTAATTATCACAAACGTAAAAGCTGTTAATTTCACTTATAACCTATAATCATTCAATTCGTACGTGCCAAAGTATATTTCAAAATACTTCCGAAATAAATTATTATATTAACATTATTATAATATGTTAAAATAATTTATCTCATATAAAGAGTTGGAACAGAAACAGTGTAATGCGATATATCAATGCATACCGATTAAATGATTCCAAAACGTGGAAGAATTCAAAGGAAGTGACTCCAAATTGCTCCAAATTCCTATGCTATGCCAACAGCCATGGTGGAAGAAGACAACGCTAGGGAATAAGCGTGTCTATGAGCAGAGAGAAACCTGAGAAAGGACATGAGGGCCTTTTTTCTGTAATGCAGTGTTCCTAAGGCTGCGTTCGAAATCATCAACTGAGTGCCTCAATCCTCCCGAGAATCGTTCGGAAATACCGCGAAGTAAGAGAAAAGGAGACTCAACTTGATAGCGCGCGGACAGAAAAAGTGGAACAGGTTTTTGAGCTGAATTGGGAAGGAGTCCGCTGAGAGGAATAATCAAATACATAGAGAATGGACTACGCGATTCGTATCTAAAGCTGGAAACACAGTAGACACAGGCAATAGGCACAGGCAACAGGGAATAACGAGCCGTCCAATCAGAACTTTGGGGTATAAATTCGATATTATATCCCAGAGCTCTGATTGGACGGCTCGTTATTCCCTAGGTCTGTTTTTTATTAGGTCTGTTTTTTATTGCTGCACTCTGAACCAGTGCAATAAGTTAAAGTGAAACAAACGTATATTTGTTTCACTTCAACTTATTGCACTGTGTGTACTAGTCTAGAAAGTGCGGCAACAAAAAACAGACCTCCTGTTGCCTGTGCCTATTGCCTGTGTCTATTGTGTTTCCAGCTTAATAGCGTTTTCGGCCCGGCCAGGTTTGCACCACCGACGAGATACTATTAAAGACCGACATCCTTATGGCGTGTGTACACGATGCTAGAAATCGGTCCGAGAAGAAAGAATTGACCAATTGCAATGGTCATGTGATCAAATAGTTCATGACAATTTGATCACATGACCATTGCGATTGGTCAATTCTTTCTTCTCGGACCGATTTCTAGCATCGTGTACACACGCCATTACGGGAGTTCGCGTCCTTGTGAATATTGAAGTGATTAATAGCGTTTTCGACCCGATCGGGTTTGCACCATAGACATATAAGATAGACCCAGCATCCGTATACTTTTCTATAGTATATGCTGGGTTTGGCAGAACAGTGCGAGAGGCAAAATATCGGGGCAACCTGTCCTTCTCTGCGCGCGCATCTTGACAATCTTAACAAAATCAAAATTTGCTTACGTTAGAATTGTCTGTATTCTTTGCACCCATTATTAATAACTGTTAGTATTGTTTCTTTTGTAAAAAAAATTGAATATGGA